GGTAAGTTGATGAAAACCAATAACATTTCTTCAAATGTACCCACAAAAAAGAGAGTTACATTATGTTTGGAAAATAATTAAAACAGTCAGCAAATTAAATGTAAAAAACTATATGAAAGACATTTTTAAAATGCACGCTGCTTTAAAATTGTTAAGTAACAAGGCAAATATTATTATGCAGCTTTGTGCCGATTTCAAAACTAATTGAATAGAAATAAAGTTTTTTTTTTTTAATTTTTTATTTAAAAATGAGAAAGGAAGCAAGCTTCCGCAAGCCGAAGATCATATACCACCATGCCCTTGCAACTATTGCAAAAATTAAATATTCCTGAAAACAACAAAATTTTGATTTGATGCCTCTATGCTTAAAATCATTTAAGCTGTTATGATTTGCATATCAATTATTGTATAGTTCCTATGGCAGCTATATAATTTCGTTTCCCGATTCATATAAAACTAAAAGAGAAATTCTAAACTATAGAATTATTAAAAAGTCAAGAAGAATTTTTAAAAATATTCGTCCGGTATTGCTGTAATTTAAACCATAATTCTGAAATATTTAACCATTACCAGATGTCGAAGAACTAAAAAAAATTGAAAAACAGGAAAATTATAATATTTTTCATTTTTTTTCCGATTGTTCCTATGGGAGCTATATGCTATAGTCGTCAGATCCGGCTAGTTCCGACTTATGTACTACCTGCAATAGAAAGACAACTTTTGGGAAAGATTCATTCAGATAGCTTTAAAACTGAGAGACTAGTTTGCGTAGAAACGGACGGACGAACGGACAGACGGACGGACAGACGGACAGACAGACGGACGGACGGACAGACGGACATGACTAGATCGCCTCTCCTAGTGATGCTGATCAAGAATATATATACTTTATAGGGTCGGAAATGTCTCCTCCTCTGCGTTGCAAACTTCTGACTGAAATTATAATACCCTCGCAAAAGTATACAAAAATGGCTGATACCCTCAACAGATCAGCAAAGTGATGAGAAAGTTTTCTCAAATTTAAATACAGCGAAGAGCAATACTCAATAAACATGGCTTTGTTGACTTAACATAGCTTATGTACGAACCGTGTGCACAAGAATGATCAAAGAATTCAGCGAAATACCGAAATATTTTTTTTATAATTAACAAGAAAGAAAACAAACTTCGGCAAGCCGAAGTTCATATACCCTTACAGCTATTGCAAGAATTAAATATTTTTGAATACATTAAACTAATGATTTACTTGTTTTCATTTATTTTCCCGATTGTTCCTATGGGAGCCTTTTTTCTAAAGTCGTCCGATCCGTCTTGTTCCGACTTTCCTACCTGCAGTAAGAAGTCAACTTTTGGTAAAAAGTCACGGACTTTAAAACTGAGAGACTAGTTCGCATAGAAACGGACGGAAGGTCAGAAGGATATGGCCATTCCTTTAGGGCGTACTAGATATAAGTTTGCGACAGGTCTCCACTGGAATTTCATACCACGTTTTTTGCTCAAATCTGCACAATTCCTCGCCATTTCAAAAAGTATTTCTTCCGATTCAACGTTTTAAGTCTCCCCAAACGTTTTCTATTGGATTTAAGCCCGGAGACTGGCTTGCCCATCTCATATCGTTCACCTGGTTTTCTGCACACCAAGCCTTGACCAGCTTTGAGGTGTGTTTTGGTTTGTTGAAAGGCCCATCGCAAGGTTTCCTCAGCACATGGTAGCATAACGTCGTATTATCCATCTTTTACAACCAAATCGGGTCATAGTATCAGTAATGAGATGTACAGGACCAACGCCCTGATAAGAAAAAAATCCATAAAACATTACGCATCCGACTCCGTGCTTAACGGTCTTCTTAGTGTACCGGGCGTCAAATTTTTTAACATTTGGGCGAAAAAGGTTTTTCTTTGATTCGTCGCTCCATAAAATATTATTACACATTTTAGAGCCTTCTGGTTCAGACCATTCCAAGTGATGTTAAGCAAACTGTCGCCTCATCATTAAATTTTTTTCTCGACGAAATGCAAATTTTACGGGTAGGCCTGCATTTTTATACCCTTGCAGAGGGTATTATAATTTCAGTCAGAAGTTTGCAACGCAGTGAAGGAGACATCTCCGACCCTATAAAGTATATATATTCTTGATCAGCATCACTAGGCGAGTCGATCTAGCCATGTCCGTCTGTCCGTCTGTCCGTCCGTTTATATGCAAACTAGTCTCTCAGTTTTAAAGCTATCTGCATGAAACTTTCCCAAAAGTTGTCTTTCTATTGCAGGTAGTATATAAGTCGGAACGAGCCGGATCGGACGACTATAGCATATAGCTCCCATAGGAACAATCGGAAAAATAAATGAAAAAAAATTATAACTTTGCTGTTTTTTAATTTTTTGTTTAGTTCTTCGACATTTAGTAATGGTTAAATATTTCCGATTTACGGTTTAAATTATATCAAAATCGGACGACTATAGCATATAGCTCCCATAGGAACAATCGGAAAAATAAATGAAAAAAATTATAACTTTTCTGTTTTTTAATTTTTTGTTTAGTCCTTCGACATTTAGTACTGGTTAAATATTTTCGATTTACGGTTTAAATTATATCAAAATCGGACGACTATAGCATATAGCTCCCATAGGAACAATCGGAAAAATAAATGAAAAAATTATAACTTTGCTGTTTTTTAATTTTTTGTTTAGTCCTTCGACATTTAGTAATGGTTTAATATTTTCGATTTACGGTTTAAATTATATCAAAATCGGACGACTATAGCATATAGCTCCCATAGGAACAATCGGAAAAATAAATGAAAAAATTATAACTTTTCTGTTTTTTAATTTTTTGTTCAGTTCTTCGACATATAGCAATGGTTAAATATTTCAGAATTATGGTTTAGATTTTATCAAAATCGGACGTCTATATCATATAGCTCCCATAGAAATAATAAAAATATATAAAGTAACTATCAAATAATTGAGCTGCTAATCATCATAGCTTCAATGTTTTAAAACATATACGCAGTAAATCATAATTTTAATGTTTTCAAAAATGTTAAATTCTTGCAATAGCTGCAAGGGTATATAAACTTCGGCTTGCCGAAGTTTGCTTTCTTTCTTGTTAAGTCTACGATGAACCATTTGAGATTAAATTTCATTTCCCGTTTGGGTGGCAATGGGCTTGGAAGACATAAAGGCATCCTTTTCTGCAAGTCTGACGATGCGGGTCTGTTTATTGTGAACATTTCTTCTTTAGTCCTCGCTATTCAACATTAACATTGGATTTAAATGCATTTTGAACAAAACACACCGAGCGTCCAAGACTTTTCGCAATTTCCCGAAGACTCCACAATTTTAAAGATTTACGGATATTCGTTTTTTCAAGTCTCGGCCCATCTAAATAATTTTTTTTTAACTCGAATATATTTTAATAAGCAAGAAGTTAATAAAAACCAACATATCTATCTTTAAATGTAGTAAAACCAATAGTTTACTTATTATTTTGACCAGAGCAAAAACGGCCATCCAGCTCAGATTTGTGCTTTGCTTTGTACTGTCACTCTGAGGCATGTCTGACCATAGGGTTTGGACTCAATGCGTGAGTTTCGGTCATATCAATCGGTAGACTCAAACAATTTTTAAAATCGCGCTCCCCTGCCGCCCCTCTGCCGCTGCTCGGCCGTTGTTCAGTCGCTGCCCTGCCGGTAATCGCTGCAGTAGAGAGACAGGACAAAAGAACTGTTAGCGGGAGCACCGCTGTGCGCAAAGGTCTGTCGACCAGACATAGACTTTAGAGAAATCAATCCTAAATGAGAAATAAAAGCTGAACATCTAAAAGAAACCTAAGCTCAACATGGTTTTTACTGAAAATTTAATTCGGAACTTTGGATGCAACTAAATAACTACATTGCGATGGAAAAATAAAACAAAACAAGGAAGAACGCTTTAATCGAGTTCCCCGACTATAAGATACCCGTTACTCATCAAAAAAATGTTAAGCTAAATATTTCCCTACAAAACAATCAGATTTGGCTTAACAACTTTTTGAGAAAAATTAGTTTAAATTTTCCTATTCAGCAGTTGTTCTACCTTTCTTCAAATTCGGAAAAATTGTTATAAAATTTTGTTTTTTAAATAGCTTGATCAATTCCTAAAGAGTAAAATCCTAACATCACGAAATTCGATTTTGCAACGAGTTTTTGAATAACGAGCCACTGTGCGCGTAGTCGGAAACCAGGCTAAGCTCCTTCAAACCGATGGAATATTATCGCGAGAATTTATTGTTTAAGAACGGCTTGGGTCTTACAAGAGGCCGAGTTGATCCGTCAGCATCTGTATTACGGTTTTCTGTCAATTCCCTTACCGCCTGTTCAGTCCAGGACCGACAAACCATTTCTAAGAACGCCTTTGTCACCACCGCGAGTTCCATCCATTTTAAGAACTTGTCGAAAATAACCGTCCTAAAGATCTCTCGATTAAAGATAGGTAATGACCATCTTATCGGTAGCTTTTCTCAGTAAATTGCAAATCACTTTTTTTTGTACGAGTATTTTTGTTTCGACTTCATCATTTTCCAACTGATGTACGTTAGTTAGTTGCCTTAGTACAGCTTCTTACTTGCAATCATTGGCTTTGGTATGTATTTCGAAGGTGTAAAGTCTGGGCAAGCTAGGTTTTTTAATACCCTTGCAGAGGGTATTCTAATTTCCGGCACCATAAAGTGTATATATTCTTGTTAAGGATCAATAGGTGAGTCGATAAAGCAATGCCCGACTCTCCGTCTGTCCGTCCGTCTGTTCGACCGTTTCTTCGCAAACTAAACCCTTAGGTTTAAAGCTATCTGCATGAAACTTTCCAAAAATTTGTGTTTCTATTGCAGGTAGTACATAAGTCGATACGAGCCGGATCTGACGACTATAGCATATAGCTCCAATAGGAACAATCGGAAAAATAAATGAACAAAATTATAAGGTAGCTGTTTTTTAATTTTTTTTTTAGTTCTTCGACACAAAGTAATGGTTAAATATTTCAGAATTACAAAAACAGGTGTACGCAGATCAAGTTTGAAAAGCGCCCCGAAATAACAAGAATTGAAGATATTGAAGACTGCTCGGCACTCTCTTTTGCGTTGGCACGCTGGGCAAGGGGATCGAGTCGGCCTCAACACCCTTTGGATGAAGGCTCAGTCGGGCGCTGCATTGCTTAAATGGAGGCTGTAAAAGTGCGGCAAGGCGTAAAATATACTTACGTAGGATTCAATAGCCGGACAGATGCGGGAAGCGGGCTGGATTCGTAACGCTGGGGCTTCCGGAGTTCGTTTACAACCTCCTCTCATACAGGCGGGCAGAAGTTAGTTTTCCGCAGGCGTCGCGTAATTGGTTTCCGTCTGTAATTGAGCGCGGGTTACTGCTTGTAAATGGAACCGTGTATTCCGTCTCTCGGACTCCGTTCCCAGGCGTGATAGCCAAAGCCAGATAGCACTTACGAGCTAGGGAAAGCTTCTGGCAGAGTCGAATGAAAACGCTGTGCAGACTCGTATAAAGCTTTGATGGCTGCGTCTGTCCCGGTTCCGCGTTGGTAAGCCCCATATCGCGTGTTGTGCTAGCGGAGGGCCGATGGCACCCTGCGGCGAGCCTGCCTTCGCTTCCACTTTCTGTTGAATCAATCAAATCGAGTCGTTAATAGCTCGGTCATGGTCGTCCCACGTGGATGGATTCTTCCCCTTTCACACTGAATATTTGTTTCCTTCCGCACTCGAACCCTCTCACCTTACACTCTACGGCCAGGTTGTTTGCAAAAAAAAATTCACGCGCTGGTTGCCGGCTGGTATCCGGCGAGGCGCAGATTGGTCTCGGAAGCGAGTGACAATGTGGGTGATACGTAGTTGTCCGTGCTGGCGCGCATGTCCCGACGTGGTGTTGTTTCGAAGACGCTTAGTCTTTTCAGCAAACTTGTACGTTCCGCCACCATAGAGTAATAATGTATAGAGTCGCCATTTGCTCTGCCCGCAAATTTATGGACGCTTGCGTGACGCCGGTGTTTGAACAGTGTGGTGAAGATATCAGCTGTTCGAACATGTGCAAGCGACCAGCAACAGGATGCAACTGCCGTAAGACCTGCATGCGAAAGAAGAGTTCAGCTAGTAAGCGCTAAATTCAAAACATTGAACGAGTTTTTGCGCTATTTTGTAAAAACAATTACTTCTCTTTTGCTTTTTTTGCCTTTGCAAGAATACATACGACTAAACACCGTTGATATGTCAATAAAAGTCCAAAAAAGCGATTATTTATGACTTAAAACACAAAAATTTCAGGGTTTTTAAACAAAACGTCCAGAGGTATTGTCTCTAAGCCGAAGGTAATTCGATGTCTCCATTCTTTTATTGATTTCGCTGCAAAATACCAGTTCATTTACATTTTATCATTTCACCACACTTCGAACATCCAAGCAGATTCCCAGCAAAATCCAATTGCTTTTGCTGTTTGACGTGACGTCATGTCGAACCTGAAGCATCTTCTCAATGCTCGACGTCCACCAATACAATCATCTCTCACACCTATTTTCAACTGTGTGAACTCAAAAATATTTCCGATTCCTACTCAGTATCAATAAAATATTCTCTTTTATTCATACACCAGGCTCTTAAAAGCTCGTGTTTCGTATGGCTTTGAGCTGTAATGCTGATTTGAGATATTTTATTGGTTTGATTTGCTTTTTTGAGTTCGATTTTGAAAATGAAACCAGAATTTCGATTTTTAAGACAGGCAAAACTAAATTGCTTAAAAGTATTTAAAAAATATTTATTTTGTATAATCTATAATATTTTGTATAATACAATTTGCATTAAAAATATTAAGTAAAAAAAAATTGTAATTTTAAAAAATTAAATATTAATCACTATTGCTTCTTTTTAAGGCTTTTACCCAAAAGATCATTTATTTCGTTATGTTTTATGATGATTTTAAGTAAGTTCCACTGTTAAGATATATAAGTCACAATAAATTTTAAATAAATTATGTACATTTTATATTAATAAATAAATGTAGTTTTAATAAAAAATGATTGAATTGCTGTTATTTTTAATTATTATTCGTTTTATAGATATATATGTATTTAGAAGCTTTTGTCTAGAATGATATCCTTATATTACAAATTATTTAAATTCAGTACAATTTGAATTTAACTCAGACATGATTGGGTCCTATGTGGACATTGAATTCAGTCCCATGTGCACATTGAGTCAAAAAGTAAAAGACTTTGCTTTCTTACTCAATGCCTATGTGGACATTGAATTCAGTCCCATGTGGATGTTGTCTCTTTCTATGGGAAAACAAGAACAACGTATTTGTCACCAAAACAAAAAATCATTTGGTCATTTCACTCGCTCTGCCGCATTTCCCATAAGCTGAAAACAGAACAATAAGAGCGAACAGGCCAGCTGCAAAAATTCACCATGGGACCGAATTAAAGGTTCTAATCGAACCGTGAGAGACTGAAATTTTCCCCTTTTTTAGTCTAGGTGGCATCACTGGAAAAGTCACTCGAGAGAGCGGCAGAGCAAATGGCGACTCTATATAGTTTCCTACTCTATGTCCGAACTTCAGGAAAAGGAAAAACAGCCACACTAAACAGGATGAGCCGATACCAACTCTCTTGCTATTGCTTTTTAACCGTGAACACGACGGTCGGGCTACGCGGAACCACTAACCATACAACATATAGACTGGTCATTTCATACGACGTATTTGGACACAAAAAAACGGACCGCGGAAGGTCCACCGTTCTCACTGCAGCAGGTCCATGCACTTCGTGTGCGTTCGGGTTTTTTACTCTCTCATTCTTATTCTCATTTTTATGCTCGCGCACTCATTGCACGAGTTCAGTCGTTCAGTCGCAGAGACATAGAGTAGGAAACTATATAGAGTCGCCATTTGCTCTGCCGCTCTCTCGAGTGACTTTTCCAGTGATGCCACCTAGACTAAAAAAGGGGAAAATTTCAGTCTCTCACGGTTCGATTAGAACCTTTAATTCGGTCCCATGGTGAATTTTTGCAGCTGGCCTGTTCGCTCTTATTGTTCTGTTTTCAGCTTATGGGAAATGCGGCAGAGCGAGTGAAATGACCAAATGATTTTTTGTTTTGGTGACAAATACGTTGTTCTTGTTTTCCCATAGAAAGAGACAACATCCACATGGGACTGAATTCAATGTCCACATAGGCATTGAGTAAGAAAGCAAAGTCTTTTACTTTTTGACTCAATGTGCACATGGGACTGAATTCAATGTCCACATAGGACCCAATCATGTCTGAGTTAAATTCAAATTGTACTGAATTTAAATAATTTGTAATATAAGGATATCATTCTAGACAAAAGCTTCTAAATACATATATATCTATAAAACGAATAATAATTAAAAATAACAGCAATTCAATCATTTTTTATTAAAACTACATTTATTTATTAATATAAAATGTACATAATTTATTTAAAATTTATTGTGACTTATATATCTTAACAGTGGAACTTACTTAAAATCATCATAAAACATAACGAAATAAATGATCTTTTGGGTAAAAGCCTTAAAAAGAAGCAATAGTGATTAATATTTAATTTTTTAAAATTACAATTTTTTTTTACTTAATATTTTTAATGCAAATTGTATTATACAAAATATTATAGATTATACAAAATAAATATTTTTTAAATACTTTTAAGCAATTTAGTTTTGCCTGTCTTAAAAATCGAAATTCTGGTTTCATTTTCAAAATCGAACTCAAAAAAGCAAATCAAACCAATAAAATATCTCAAATCAGCATTACAGCTCAAAGCCATACGAAACACGAGCTTTTAAGAGCCTGGTGTATGAATAAAAGAGAATATTTTATTGATACTGAGTAGGAATCGGAAATATTTTTGAGTTCACACAGTTGAAAATAGGTGTGAGAGATGATTGTATTGGTGGACGTCGAGCATTGAGAAGATGCTTCAGGTTCGACATGACGTCACGTCAAACAGCAAAAGCAATTGGATTTTGCTGGGAATCTGCTTGGATGTTCGAAGTGTGGTGAAATGATAAAATGTAAATGAACTGGTATTTTGCAGCGAAATCAATAAAAGAATGGAGACATCGAATTACCTTCGGCTTAGAGACAATACCTCTGGACGTTTTGTTTAAAAACCCTGAAATTTTTGTGTTTTAAGTCATAAATAATCGCTTTTTTGGACTTTTATTGACATATCAACGGTGTTTAGTCGTATGTATTCTTGCAAAGGCAAAAAAAAGCAAAAGAGAAGTAATTGTTTTTACAAAATAGCGCAAAAACTCGTTCAATGTTTTGAATTTAGCGCTTACTAGCTGAACTCTTCTTTCGCATGCAGGTCTTACGGCAGTTGCATCCTGTTGCTGGTCGCTTGCACATGTTCGAACAGCTGATATCTTCACCACACTGTTCAAACACCGGCGTCACGCAAGCGTCCATAAATTTGCGGGCAGAGCAAATGGCGACTCTATACATTATTACTCTATGGTTCGGAGAAACTAGCTATCTAGTTATTTGCTGGCTTACAAGCTACTTTCTGAATTATGAGTTTTTATTTCTAGCAAGCTATTTAAATATAAGTACTCGGTTGTTTTCTGAAGCCGTAGGGCAGAATTTATTATAGATCAAGACAGAACGCTATAGTCGGGTTTCCCGACTATAAGACACCCGTTTTTTAGCCAACAAACTTAAACCTAAGTATTTCTCCTACAACACGATCGATGTTTAGGTGGTGCCATCTGTCGAACTGCATAACCAACACTAGAAGCTAAGAGCGTGCAGCACCCCCACAGCCCCGCTAACAGTTTAATTCTCTCTCTCTTTCCCTATCTCTCTCTCTTATCTGCTAGCAGCGGCAGAACAACGGCTCAGTCGCTAAGCAGCGGCAGAGGGGCGGCAGAGAATTTCATAAACCCCATAACTCCTAAAATAATAGCTCGATTTTGAAAATGTTTGGGTCTACCGATTGATATGACCGAAACGCACACACAACAACAACCCGAACCTTTATATATGTCTCAGAGTGACAGTACATACTTTCACGATTTCTGGGCGTTTGAATGGGCGTGGCTCTGTTTTGAAATAAACTTGCGGTGCGTTGGAACTACTAGAATCTGCTTGTTAAGTCCCAAACCTCTAGCTATTATAGTTTCCGAAATCATGACGTTCATATAGACGAACAGACGGCCAGACGGACAGACAGAAAAACATAGCTAGATCGACTCGGCTATTAACTCTGATCAAAAAAATATATACTTTATATTGTCGGAAATGCTTCCTTCTACCTGTTACATACTTTTGAATGATATTGTATTCATTCACCCTTTTACTCTACGAGTGCCCTTTAGTGGGCACCTAAACTAATGATTACATGATTATGAATAATGATTATGAAATAGTTATGTAATTCTTAATAAATATAAAATCAGCAACGTTTCTTTTCTCCCGATTGTTTCTATGGGAGCTATACGCTATAGTCGTACGATCCAGTTCGTACCTGCAACAGGAAGACAACTTTTGAGAAAGTTTTATGCGGATAACTTTAAAACAGCAAGACAAATTTGCGTAGAAACGGACAGACGAACGGACAGACGGACACGGCTAGATCGATTCTCCTAGTGATTCTGATCAAGAGTACGTATACTCTTTGAAATCGGAAATGACTTCTTCACTGCCTGGCAAGGTTCTGACTGAAATTATAATACCCTCTGCGAAGGCATAAAAATAACATCGGTATTTACCCTTTACGAGGGTATAAGAACTACATCGGTACTTACCTGACTTATTAAAGTAGGGGAGCCATTTAATGCAGAAACTAAAGGATCCATTAACATGGGTAGGTAGGGCAGTAAAGATGATAAGCGAACCGGGACAGTAAGACAAAGTTCCACAAAAAGATCTCGCATGTGCTGCTTATGAAATCCACTCTGTAGTCGATTTAATCCTTCCAATAAGTTTGGTAAAAGTGGGAGAAACTCTTGGTATAGTAGGTCATGGCTACCGCCGCCAATCGACCTAAATAAGGCGCGAAGGAGTAAAAAATAGTTGTACGGCTCGTCAGAAATTAAGGCCAATTCCATTGATCGAATGACTATTTTATGAAGATGGGGGCGCAACATTTGTTCATTTTCAACTGGAAAGAGGCTGACGCTTCCAAAAACTAATTTGAACAACCGTAGATACAAATTGGAACGCTCCAGGTTTGTTCCCATTTCTTCCATTTTGTCCAAAAGATATTCCACTAACACTGTGGCAAAAAGCGGTGATGTAGTCGGATTAGCTAAAAATGAGTTTGCTATCACTTGCAAGGATTGATTTTTATGGATCCTTTCCACTAAAAAATGGATTGTTGTCGAAAATATTTCTTGAAAGTTTTGAGAGTGCATCATTAAAAACTGTTAAATAAATAAGAAAAAGTATATATAATTTATTAGAATTTGAATAACCATGTAAGGCTGACATCGGAAACCGAAGATCGCCCCTGAATGACTTTAAGATATTAATCGATATACCCTTGCAGCTATTGCCAAAATGAAATATTTTTCAAAAACCTTTAACTTTCTATTTATATGCGTATCTACAAAGTAGATTTTCAGGTAAGTTATTCGATTATTCCTATGGCAGCTATATATTATTGTTTTCCAATTTCAATTAAATTATAAGCGTAATTTAGAATAGTTATACCATAACTATATCCAAAAAAGACCAAAGCAAAAAATAGAAAAGATACTTTTTTTTTTAAATTTATTTTTTATCAAATATCTCCGTCCTATTTTGATCCAAATGAAACCGTAATTCTGAAATAATAAACAATGACAATATCTCGAAGAACAAAATAAATTAAAAAAACATCAAAGCTCTAATTTTTATTTTTTATACCCTTGCAGAGGGTATTATAATTTCAGTCGGAAGTTTGCAACGCAGTGAAGTAGACATCTCCGACTCTATAAATTATATATATTCTTGATCAGCATCACTAGGAGAGTCGATCTAGCCATGTCCGTCTGTCCGTCCGTCTGTCCGTCCGTCTGTCCATCCGTTTCTACGCAAACTAGTCTCTCAGTTTTAAAGCTATCTGCATGAAACTTTCCCAAAAGTTGTCTTTCTATTGCAGGTAGTATATAAGTCGGATCGAGCCGGATCGGACGACTATAGCATATAGCTCCCATAGGAACAATCGGAAAAATAAATGAATAAATTTTATAACTTTGGTGTTTTTTAATTTTAATTTTAGTTCTTCGATATAGTAATGGTTAAATATTTCAGAATTACGGTTTAAATTTCATCAAAATCGGACGACTACAGCATATAGCTCCCATAGGAACAATCATAAAAATAAATAAAAAACAAGAAAGAAAGCAAACTTCGGCAAGCCGAAGTTTATATACCCTTGCAGCTATTGCAAGAATTTAACATTTTTGAAAACATTAAAATTATGATTTACTGCGTATATGTTTTAAAACATTGAAGCTATGATGATTAGCAGCTCAATTATTTGATAGTTACTTTATATATTTTTATTATTTCTATGGGAGCTATATGATATAGACGTCCGATTTTGATAAAATCTAAACCATAATTCTGAAATATTTAACCATTGCTATATGTCGAAGAACTGAACAAAAAATTAAAAAACAGAAAAGTTATAATTTTTTTCATTTATTTTTCCGATTGTTCCTATGGGAGCTATATGCTATAGTCGTCCGATTTTGATATAATTTAAACCGTAAATCGAAAATATTAAACCATTACTAAATGTCGAAGGACTAAACAAAAAATTAAAAAACAGCAAAGTTATAATTTTTTCATTTATTTTTCCGATTGTTCCTATGGGAGCTATATGCTATAGTCGTCCGATTTTGATATAATTTAAACCGTAAATCGAAAATATTTAACCAGTACTAAATGTCGAAGGACTAAACAAAAAATTAAAAAACAGAAAAGTTATAATTTTTTTCATTTATTTTTCCGATTGTTCCTATGGGAGCTATATGCTATAGTCGTCCGATTTTGATATAATTTAAACCGTAAATCGGAAATATTTAACCATTACTAAATGTCGAAGAACTAAACAAAAAATTAAAAAACAGCAAAGTTATAATTTTTTTCATTTATTTTTCCGATTGTTCCTATGGGAGCTATATGCTATAGTCGTCCGATCCGGCTCGTTCCGACTTATATACTACCTGCAATAGAAAGACAACTTTTGGGAAAGTTTCATGCAGATAGCTTTAAAACTGAGAGACTAGTTTGCATATAAACGGACGGACAGACGGACAGACGGACGGACAGACGGACGGACAGACGGACATGGCTAGATCGACTCGCCTAGTGATGCTGATCAAGAATATATATACTTTATAGGGTCGGAGATGTCTCCTTCACTGCGTTGCAAACTTCTGACTGAAATTATAATAGAGGGTATAAAAATTATAACTTTGCTGTTTTTTAATTTTTTTTTAGTTCTTCGAGATATAGTAATGGTTAAATATTTCAGAGTTACGTTTTAAATTTCATCAAAATCGGACGACTATAGCATATAGCTCCCATAGGAACAATCGTATAGCTGCCATAGGAACTATCGAATAATTAAGCTGCAAATCATCATAGCTTCAATGTTTTTAAACATACACGCAAGTAAATCATAATTTTAACGTTTTCAAGAGTATTTAGTTTTTAAAATAGCTGCAAGGGTATATGAACTTCGGCTTGCGAAGTTTGCTTCCTTTCTTGTTTTTTATACCATTGCATAGGGTATTATAATTGCAACGCAGTGAAGGAGACATCTCCGACCCCATAAAGTATATATATTCTTTATCAGCATCACTAGGAGATCTAGCCATGTTCGTCTGACCGTCCGTCTGTCAGCCTCTCCGTCCGTTTCTGCGCAAACTAGTCTCTCAGTTTTAAAGCTATCTGCATGAAACTTTCCCAAAAATAATCTTTATATTGCAGGTTAAAATATAAGTCGAAACTAGGCTGTTCGGACGACAATATCATATACATAAGTAACAAGACTGATTTTATTGGTCAGCTTTGTGCCGATTACGAAACTAGTTGAATAAAATTAAAGTTATTTTCAGTCAGAAGTTATGCTGATTGAGCATATATATACTTTATAGGGTCGGAAATGTCTCCCGAAGTCTGCAACGGGAATTGCAAAAAATTACTCCCTAAGAAGACAACAGCAGCGGCAGCGATAACGGCAGCTGCAGCGATAACGGCTGCGGCAGTACCAGTGGCGGCAAAAGCCGTCTGCAAAACATAGAATTCGAAGAGGAAATAAATATAAGAACATGGAGTAGGCTTTTTGTCCTAAGTGTTCGCTAATGCAAATATTTCAAAAAAAATTTCATTGACACTTAAAAACGAATAAATTTCAAATTTTCCTATAATAAAATAAAACAATTATATTTTTTGAAGAATTTTTAGTAATAAAAATTTTTATTTTTGATGCCTAATTTTCGTCACAAAAAAAACAAAACATTTTTTTAATAAAACGTTCTTTTTGATATTTAAATTTTGTTGTAAAAAATAATAGGTGCAAAAATATTAAATATGCTCATTAAAGGTTTAAAACTCCGAAAATTCAGACTTTCCTGGAAATACTAATAGAACCGGGAAAAGAATGTAATGAACCCCTGGACATGGTAAAATCTATCCCGGAATTCGACGGGAAGCAGGAAAACTATGTTTCCTGGAGGCAGGCTGCTACTGCAGCATATAGGGTATTTGAGGAAGCAGCCGACATTACCAGGCTGTAGGAATACTTAAAAATAAGGTACGGGGCGCGGCAGAGGCTAATGCCTCATTTAACACAGTGTTTAACTTTCATGCCATACTGGCAAGGTTGGATTTTACGTATGCGGACAAAACTCCAGCACACGTAATTAAACATCAGTTAAGTCTATCTAGACAGCGAGAACTGCCCCTTCTTAAATACTATGACGAGATAGAACGTAAGCTAACGCTTCTTACCAACAAAACAATCATGACTCACGCCGCAACCGCGGCGGCAGTCTTAAATGAACAGCACAGAGATGACGCTTTACATGCGTTCATATCTGGCTTAAAAAAGTAATTGAAAAATGCCGTTTTTCCGGCGCAACCAAGAGACTTACCATCAGCCTTGGCATTAGCTCAAGAAGCTGAGGCAAGTAATGACAGAAGCGCTTTCACAGCCACCTTCGCCCGCCATAGCGAAGAAAAGATATTTAGGCCGAGCAACCAGCGACAAACGGGGTGGAAAAACTATGAACAGAAACAAAGCCAGGGGGCGATAAAAAAGAACTTTCACTTTGTCAGGACCCAAAAGGGAGCAACTAATCAGAGCGGTTCTTTTATACAAAAACCATATAATACCGCAGGTCCAAGCCAACCAGCAGCAGAACCAATGGATGTCGACACCTCCTCCAGGTTCAAGCAGCCCAAGGCGTGGCAAAGGGGGTCGACACGATCCCAACAAAAAATAAACTTCATGCCGGAAGAAAAAACCGACGATGAGGAATATGGCTTCGTTGCGCAAGCAAGCACCACGGAGATAGAGGACGAGTTAGCTGGAGAAGACTCCTGCAATTTTTTAGAATAAAATCCCTGCTTCCTTACATTACACGTACGGTAGCAGGAAAAGAAATAAAACTATTAATCGACACAGGCACCTCTAAAAATTACATTACTCCACTCCCGGGGCTGAAAGGCATCGTGGCAGCGGATAAACCCTTTACAGTAAAGTCGATCCATGGCTTTACTAAAATAAATAAAAAATGTCTAGTTTTAGTGTTCAACGTAAAAACACCCTTTTTCATTCTTAACGACCTTAAGGATTTAAGGCATTATCGGACTCGACTTACTTAAACAAGTGAATGCGAAGCTCGATTTAACTAAAAATGTTAATGTTAATGTTAATGTCGCCGATCCGAACGAAGCGCTGCCTTTCAACATAAACACATTGGCAACGATTAAAACGGATGGGGAACCGGTATACTCTAAGTTATACCCGCACCCCATGGGTGTAACCGAATTCGTCAATGCAGAGGTTAAACAACTTCTTACGGACGGCGTAATAAGGCCATCCAAGTCCCCATATAATAACCCTACCTGGGTTGTGGACAAAAAAGGAACTGAACAAAATGGGGTTAAAAAGAAGCGATTGGTTATCGACTTTAGGAAACTCAACCAAAAAACCGTAGACGATAGATACCCTATCCCTACCATCTCGACAATACTGTCGAATATGGGCGAGTCGAAATTTTTTACGACACTCGACCTCAAGTCAGGCTTTCATCAGATAGAGCTGGCAGAAAAGGACAGGGAAAAGACAGCCTTTTCAATCAACAACGGCAAATACGAATTCTGTAGACGGCCATTTGGACTTAAGAATGGCACGAGCATTTTC